GTGTGTGTGTGTGTGTGTGTGTGTGTGTGTGTGGACCAGCCCCAAGGTTTATGATTTAACTTCATTACAGTGCTTCAATCCACCTAATAAACCAGAATTTTAAGGATCCCGAGTTGGACATTTGTAGCCAACAGAACAAAATGTTTCTTTGCTAGTTATACTGAAAATAAGGGACAAACCTTTCATAGACTCTGAAAATGTCACTTTAATAATATACGTATACAGACAATTCTTTGGAGAATAGACATTTCTAAACAAATTGATCTCGTATATCTTTAGAATAGGGCCTGCCCAATATTTGCAACACTGAGGTCTGTGTTAACAATGTACTAGGAGTACTAGAGCTTCACATACTTTGCACTTTTTCCTGGAAATAAATACAATTTGCAACTGTGCATTTTATTGGTCTGTGGTAGCTTACCACCCATACCTTATCTTGATGTTCTTCAGTAATAAAAATCTGTGTATGATTGGGGTTTTTTTTTTCTTGTTCCTACCTAGTGGGGCGAAACAGGTAGTGATTGCATATTCTGATGCCTCTCCCCAGATGCTTCTAGGCGGCCTATTGCCTTATTTTTAGAATAAGCTGTCCAAGACGGATCTCAGTTGCACCTGCAATGTATCTGAAATAATGAGGGAGTTGCTTGTATTTATCTTTGCAACTGAGAACAAAATCTTCCCCAGAACATTTAATCCTTGGTGTTGAATTGGTCTGATTTTTTTTTTTTTTAACTTCTTACATTTGCAAACCTAGACAGCTGCCAATTCATACTTAACAATGGCACAAAAATATCTTGGCATCCATCATAAAATGTTCTAGTCCAAAGACATTTATATAAAAGTGCACATCAGTTCTCACAGCTTAATAACTTTTCAAGTCAAATTAGTTTAAAGATCATTCCAACGCACAGGGAGAGACCATTTACTTTGCTTCAAAAGCCAGATAAAATAATTTCAACATCATCATCACAGGTTGGTTTGGGTTTTTTCCTTTTAATGTATGTGCTATTGTTTTCCATTCCTCCACTGAATATTACTTGGTTCATATATCTGGAGTGACTCACATAGTGCTTCTCAAAAAGAGTCCCGTCTCTATTATAGAGAAAACAGTGATGAGTTTAATTAAATGTGGTTTTGTGTCCTTTTTTTAAATGGAACACAGATGTACTGGAATTTTTTTGGCCTATAACGTTTTTTCCTTTTTCTCTTGTGAAAAATGGTAATAGTTAAAAGCAAAATAAGTGTGGAAAAAAGGCAGCAGCCAAAGAATATCAGTGGCTTTTTCTGTGAAAGAAATAAACAGAAGGTACACTGTGTTTTTTCATTTGTTTGATCGCAGGTTGAATACTCTGCAGGAAAGCCATTGCTGCTAATCAGGTGGTTATAAAATTGTACAGAAGGCTTGGCCTTAGAATCAGAAGTGAAGAATCCAAATCTGGGTTTCAGTTTTTCTTCTGTCAGTTTAAAAGCATAATAGCCTCTAATTTTGACTTTATCTATATGATATGCTGCAAAGAAGAAGAGAATGTTAACACTATAACCTTATGCATAGACTGAAAACCATTTTAAAATCGTTTTTTGATTATCAGCAAATATTAGTATAGTTAAAAATTAGAACTGCATTATAAAACAAGGTTGGAATGGTGTTGTAACCATCATGGTCTGGGAAGTGTATGAGAAGCAAAGTTTTTTTTGTACTATCTTTTATAGGACCACTATATTATCTTTTATATCTTTTGTACTATCTTGTATAGTTGGGAGAGCTGTTGGACGAGATTTCAGTCATGAAGTACCCTTCCTTAGGTCACTTGATGCCTTACAAAACAAAGAATTTAAATAATTATATTTACCACTGTGCTGTATACACCATCCCTAATAATGCTCAACTCCTTACTACTTCATAATCATCAACAGGTTTAGCAAGTCTGTTAGAAACATGATTAGAATCAGGAGTTCCTACATTAAAATCCTGTGGTTAATCTACAAAAGCCAGATTTTTTTAATGTTTTAGGCATTTAAGATTGCAGATAAGCTTTGAAAATCTCTCTAAGCACCTATCTGTAATTTCAGTTATCCTAATACTTTAAAAAAAAAAAAAAAGGTCTCACAAAGGGTGCATAAACGCATGAGATTAATGCAATGCAATTAATTCCAGGGTAGTTCATGCCAGAACCAACTGCTCCCAGGCTCAGCATCTACAAGTGCACCCAGCATCTACAAGTAATTTGAGCTGAGGCAGAGCAGGCCCCTGGCTGGCAAGGCTATCCAGGCATAATGTATGCCCGTGGTTACCATTGACGTATGCATTTCAGCATAGTAAAGTATGCCACCATAAGAGAGTACCATCCTTGAGAGTACTATCCTACAATGGAGTTAATTAGTCTACTGTGCCATAATGCTGGCACACATGTAGACTTGTGAGATTTTACTGTGGAGCTAATTAGTTTATTCTGCAGTAAAACACACGTGTAGATGCATCCAGAGTATTTCAAGACTGGAGCAGAGGCTTTGGAAAGGGAACCCAAAATATAGCATGTCAGGGAGTCAGCAGATTCAAAATCCCTGCAATAGAGTATTGTGTGCCTCAAATGTACTGATAGTTCTTTTACCTAACTGCCAAAATAAACGACATTCAAAGAGCTACATTTTCCCTGAAATAATTAATTGTAAGCTCTTGGGGAAGGGTCATAAGCGTACGCAAAGCCTAGCACTGTAGGATCCCAAACAGAGAAACAGGTCTTTGAAAATGAGTAATATAATGATTATGTTCTTCAAGAATACAAATCTTTTCAGCTCATATATAAAGAGAGAAAAGAATCCAAACTAATATTTAATTTAGGCAAGTTTTAAAAAAGTGAGCTACAAACAATTGTTCTCTCAGGCTTTCTCTATGCAGAGAGATGGCATGTTTACTTAACTACAAGATGAGGTTATTTTTCTCCCAATCGGCATAAAAAGAAAAGCCCCTCATCTTATATTCACATACAAAGAAACCTCATTAAATACACCATCTATCATTAAACTGCTGCCAAAAGCAGCACAGATTCAGTAATGGAAACTAACTGTGAAGCTCATTAAATACAGCCAACACTGAGCATGACTAAAACACAAAGCCCGTATTGAACAAATCTGATGGGATTTGTTGGGAATCTGATGGGAATCTATCGCCGCATTTCCCAGCCGGTGTACTGTCGGCCGCGTCCAGTTGTGCCACGGAAGCTTGGGGGGCCATGGCTACAGGCAGCGATGCCACTGCCGCCCCACACTGTCACTGTGCCGATATCACACCCCCCAACTTGATGTTTGACTGCTTGCCACCTGTCCCTGCTCAGTGTTTGGCTGCTTGCCACCTTCCCCTCCCCTCCCCCCCCTCCCCTGGCGTTCAGTTGCTCGTGACCCCTCTGCCCCCCACTCAGCATTTGGCCACTTGCCACCCCCCCACCCCATTCGGTATTCAGCTGCTCACCATCCCTCCCCCCCAGTGTTTGGCTGGTGTGCCGTGGGGTGGAGAAGGTGGGGTAAGTGTGCTGTGGGGCAGAAAAAGTTGGGAAATGTTCATTTATCAGAAGGATAAATTAGTGCTGCCCAGGTGAATAAGATATATGGTAATACCCATTGTGTGCAGCCTCCCTCAGCGCTGATTCTTTTTCAAGTCTTGGTGAACCACTACACAGAACGCATTTGGACTTCTTCACTCCCATAGCTAAGCTGTGCCTTTCTTTCCCATTTCCACTGATTCCTGTTTCTTCACCAGCCTTAAATGTCTGGTAAACATCACCAAATGGGTCCCAAACAGTTCACCCTGCATCTCATGTAAATGTTGTATGTAAATGTTTGGATGATCACTGGACTTGTAACAAGCACCCAGTTTGAGTCATGAGTGGGAGGTTAATAAGCATATGGATCCTTAGTATCTGGGGGATATCTGGTATAGAGTCAGTATACACTAAACAGCGCTGAGTTGTGGGGTCACTATGGCTTGAAACATTGTTGGCTCTGCTGGGGCCCAGCCTAATTAACTATATGGTAAATCCTGAGTCTTTTTGCTTTGGACTATTATGCATAGTTTGTGCTATATATAAGTAAATATAAAAGTGCTGCTTAAAGGTGTTTTATAGAGTACCTGTGCTAAAACCTACAGCAGTTTAAAAAAAGTAAAATGCATCAATTCTAGATTAACTATGTCTGTAGGTATCTGTAATAATTTGCATATGTTTATTTCAAGGTCAGTGTTTTCAAGTTTGCCCCTCATTTCCATTGCTCAGGGAAAGCCTGGTCTGATGGTAAGGGGCGGGGGAAGGGGCTGCAGGAGGAAAAAGTTGGGCAGCAGAAGGCAAGGGAGCTATCTGACTCCCAAATATTTGTTTTCCCTGCTATGGGCAGGGAACAAATTCAAGGCAAACCTTTAAGATTTAAATTCCATACCTGGAAAATTATAATAAACATATACATTTTTCATATATAGAATCCAGTTATTGGGGGGGGTCTTCTTATATTCATTGTCTGCTTATATTCAAGTAAGTATGGTATTACTTACTACTGTGCAGTGGGAAAATCAAGAATTCATGAGTAGTGGTCTGTGAAAAACATTTACTAGTACATTTCTTTGTAGGGGCTCTTAGATTATAAAGGAAATAAGTAATAACTAGCAATGTGCTATTGCTTTAATTTTTAGAAATTATTTATTTTAAATGCAATGTAGTAGAGTTCATGAACTAGATAGATATTGCATGTATTCATCTGATTAGAGCTGAATGCGTTTTTTTTTTTTTTAACCCATTAACAGAAATATCAGCAATCGATGCAATATATGAAAATGTATGCAAGTTGCCTTGCTTGCAAAGGCAAATCTTTCCATGAAGCAATTAGCACAGGATAATTTTGTCTGTTTTATCGATGCTTTCAAATTACTATTGGATGAATGTAAGCAAATATTCATTATTTTTAAACTATCAAACCAACACAGAGATAATTGCCAGTGTTTTTAAATGGAGATGCCTAAAAGCAATCTAAATCCATATTTAGCCAACTGAATAAATGTCCTAACCTTCACACAAGCTGACATCTCACACCTCATACTGGCAATAAAGAGCAAAAATAAATAAGATTAACACTTTTTTTTAAAGTTGAAACACTTTTGTCAAGCCAGATAAATTAACTATTTTACTAATATTTCTCTTCAGTGCAAGCAATTGCTGAAACTGGAACAGGGACAGTATGCTATTGTGGATGAGGAGGTGATCTGCATAACTGGGAGGGGAGGTAGACACTAAGAGTGCCCATTTAGAATATATTCCATGCCACCATGAAAAGTGGCTTATTTCAGATTATCTCAGTTCATCTACTCACCTTTCAAAACCTCTTGTGTATATTTTCTTAAGTAATAATTTCGAAGTTCATCATTGTCCAAAGACTGGTCGTCAATCCCATTTGCTGTGATGTAAACATCTATGTCACCATAGTTCTTTTTAATCCATTGTAGAACTTTGCGAATTCCCCAAGGCACCACTGCCAAGCGAGATGGTGAACTCAGACAGGTGATATCTTGTAGGAACTGAACATCCCGATCAAACTCATACTGGCTTCCATTTTGAAGTTCATGGATCACGAATCTTGTGGTGAAATGATTCAGAGCATAAAAATCAGCTGAGCCTCTAAGGAGTTTCTTTTCTTCATTTGTAAAATATGGCAAGAAAGACTCTGAGAGGCCTTTTTTGTTTTTGGAGAGAATATATTCCCTCATGGCTGCTGGATAATCCCCACTCTTGAAAACTGGATCTGCAAACCAACCTATCTCAAACTGAAGAAACCTTTCAGCTGCTTTCAAGTGAGTATCAAAATAGGGATTGGCAGGCTCAACCCAATCTGAATGCAAAGAGAGGGACACCTGGCCATGCTGAATGGACCTATATTGCTTGTCATAGATTTGCCAGGCCATGCCATGTGCTAGCAGTAAATTGTGTGCTGCCTGGTAGGTATCATTGCTACTTCTGTTATAGATGTTGCTTAGTCGGTTCGGCTCATTTATTGTAATCCATAATTTTACCAAATCACCGAGTTCCTGAAAACATAAAGCTGCATAATCTTGAAAGGCCTGGGCAGTAGACTGATTTAGCCATCCTCCTCCCTGCAATAAAGGAGCAGGCAGGCCCAAGTAGGCGTGAGTTGGATAATATAAAGTTACCATAGATTTAATATTGAGTTTCAGTACTTCACTAATCACACATCTATAATATTTTAGCACTTGCCTATTGATAGCTGACAAATCTCCATTGGGTAGAATTAATGACCAATCAAGTGCAAATCTATAATGAGTGACTTTCAGTTTTTCCAGGAGATCAAGTTGTTTCTTAATGCTAACAAAATCTGTACATTGAGCTGGTCGTGTTTTCAGCTTCACTCCTTTAACTTGGTGCAGAAGCCCATCTCCAGTGACATTCCAGATATACAGGTTGGGATCACAGAACTGTGGAGAGGAAGCTACCAACTCAGCCTGTAAAAATGAATAGGAATAAATGTATTCAAATGTACATTCATTAAACAGGTGTCTTTGTTACCTCTATATGGAAGAAAGAATTAGCTTAAGTTTTACTTGTGAAATAAAGCAGTGAGGAAAGGAAGCTCCTTGCTGTTCTGTTTCTGTAGCCTAGTAGTTTGTAGGCATTTCATAACAGCATGGGGGCAGAGGTTTTGTTAATCAAACCTTACAACATTTCTGAATAAAAGTTGCATCCTTTATATAAATGGGGCATAAAGTAAGTGATTGTCTTGTCCAGAGTTATTCAGGGCAACAGTGATATGTAAGAGCAAAACAGGACTGTTAGTTGCTTTACTAGCTAGTCCTAACCAGCAGGACCTGTCTTACACTTAGCTGCACTGATTGCTGTACTCTTATCACTTGTCAGGGCAAGCAGTTAATATAATTGGTTTCAATACTGATCTCTGATAGCTAACAAGATTCAGCACTGCACTTGTGTTACTGTGTTGTTACTGTTCTAATTTTTTACTTTAGTTTGTTGCGTAGGACTTGTACCATGTGGTGAATAAAAAGTTTTAAATTCAACCTTAAAACATACTGAGAAGAAAATCCTTCCCCATGCTACGGTATCCCCTCTCAATGGTTAGCAATATGATATGTAGAAGCATTTACTTCCTGTGTCTAATTGTGGCTGGGTTAAATTAAATTTATTTTGCTGGTAAGCATTTTTCCTGCCTGAGGTCTTCCATTGTGCTACCTTTCATTGTATAATTACAAAGCTGTGCTACAGCACCTGTCCCATGTCAAATACAGCTATAAAGTTTAATGTGAAAATATATGCCATAAAACCAAATCTTTTATCATGACAGTATACAATATGATCTGTTTCTGAATATGGCTCAGGCAAAAAAGGCAATATATATAGCCATACAGTCATGAAGTTAATGGCACAATAAAATAGGGAATAAGCCACAAAATTTGTGTAATATTTTTCTGTGTGCATATATAGAGCAATGATTTTTTTCATTTGTGTTTCTACAGTATTTTACAATGATAGGATATTTATTTTTTATACCCTTGCAATGAGGTCTTGGAATTATTAGACTCTTGAGTTGTATTCCTAGTGCTGAAGTTTCGAGCAAGTCAATAAAGCTACCTTTGCCTGTTTATTTATTTACATGGCTGCTGACAAATGTTCAGTTAAAGGCATGATGGGATCTGATCCCCAATCCCAACAATTGCACTTTATGCCATGCTGCACATGCATGGCAGGGGGTGTGATTGTGGGATTAGGGACCCGATCCCAATTGTGCCCTATTGCCAGTGCAGGGGGAGGCTGGGATCATGATCCTAGGCATTCCTTGCACAACTAAGTAGTGTGTCTCGGGAGTGCCAGTCTGCCCTTCAAGGCTCCAGTGCGCTCCTGAGGCTCAGTGCACTCATCACCTAATCTAATCAGGGGCGGGCAATTATTTTGGGCAGAGGGCCGCTTACTGAGTTTCGACAAGTCATCGAGGGCCACATGACAGGCAGCCCAGGGCAGATTAATATTAATTTTCTACATTTTTTATGGGCCCCAAGGGCCAGATAGAATGGCCTGGCAGGCTGCATCTGGCCCCCGGGCAGCATTTTGCCCACCCCTGAGTCCTAACTGGTGCTCTCAGCTGTGGGAGTATACAGGTTCCCTTCAAGGTTCCTGTGGGCCCCTAAGGCTGGGAGCACACCAACCACGTGTTCAATTTAGGACACAATGGAAACCAGCCACAAAATTATTACACATATTTTGTGACTTATTCCCTATTTTATTGTGCCATTAACTGCATGACCGTGGGGCCAGGTTACTGCTTACCACATGATTAACTGGTTAATCGTATGTTAAGTGTAATGTCTGCCAGGGGGCTACCAAACAGATACTTTTATACTTAAAGGTTTATTTTGAGGTTAGATTTATATATGTGGAGTGTTCTGAAATCATTGATGAAAAGTACTATATAGAGACATGTACAAAGATTTCTTTTTCATGGTTAAATACATGGAAATTAACAGAGGTTTGCAGTATATTATGCTTACCTTAAGAACAGACTCTGTGATACCCCAGGAGAAGTCACAGGAGAATTGACTTTGTAGCCCCTGGGGAGACTCCTTCAGAAAAAATCCATTATCTTGAATTATTTGTTTGTAATAAAGTGCAGATGACTTAGGAATCCTTTCTTTCTGCTCACTATCGAAATCTACATAAAATAATCCACGTCTAGTGTTGTAGGCATGTTGCCATTCAAACCCATCAAGGAGAGACCAGGCAGTGTAACCAAACACACTGATACCGTCATATTTAATAGCTGCACAGGAGAAATAAGTGAAAAGGGGTTACATGGAAAAAAATCATTAACAACTTAGAAATATGAATTACAGTATGAGCCTGTAAAATAAATGAAGGTCAGAGAGTTTAATTGTATATTATGAAATTCCCAGTTTCTCATCACCATTCTAATGGATAGCAAAAACCATGGCCAAATAGAGATGATATTTAATAGGTTAGTCCTTCTTCACTAGCAACTTCAGAAAATATCTTTAAAAATGAAGTGCTATAATAATGTTGTGCTTGTTTTAATAGTTTAGGATGTGGTGCAGAAACAAAATGATTTCAGCTACTTGAAATTATTTAAAACTGTACTGTGGAGTTTTTAAGTGAAATTTTAAACTGTCTAAACTAGAGAGCCTGGCTAAAAAGTTGGCCTGCTTTAGTTAATACAGGGCCATCCAACTGGCAATCGGTAAGAAGTTAGCAGGAGGCCACCAGGCCCATGCAGCTACCTCTCCTGCCGCCAGCCAGCTGCCACACTGCAGGAGTGGGCCTGGGAGTGACGGGACTATGTGCTGCTGGTGCTGTCTATGCAGTGGGGGCAGGGGTGTGTGCTGCCCATGCAGCCTGTGTGCTGGGGAGGTGATCCTTGGCACTGCCTGTTTGCAGGTGGGGTGGTAGGGTGGGGTGAGGGATGCTGGAGGGCTGTGCATCTCTGCCAGTGCTGCCTGTGTAGTGGTGCGGGGAATCCTGAGACCCTAGGTTATTTGTAGGAACAGTGGTTTGTATTTCTCAGTTCATTAGTCGAAACAATGATTCTGTCATTTCTTTGTATCATACCTTATCATTGCTACTTAAAACATATAATAAATCCCTGTTTACCTTATAGCCTGCAACATTAAATGTAATGATTGTGAAAGCAACCAGACTGAAAGGCCTAAAGACCAAAGTTCTCTGCTCATTCACAGAATGTGTGCAGCAGGTTTCTTCATATGGTCTTACTTTGTGTCAACCTTAAGTGGGAGAGACCTTTGCTTGAGATGGAGTAAGTAGTGCAGAGTCCAGACCCCTTCAGCCAGTCCAGTCCTTAGTGTCTGCCTGAGCAGGCTTCTCTGCTCAAGCAGACAATAAAGTTGTCATTTAATGACTAATGTGAGGGTGATTTCTCTAATACAAACACTGGTTCACTGGGAAGGGAACAGCGGCTTTGTCTACAATTGGCTGTTTCTGTTGCTCAGAGCTCTGTCCAGAGACAGCAGCTGCTACAGAGAAGCTGTCAGCTCATGTATTCACCCACATGGCTTCAAAGGGATGTGTGTGGGTCTATGTCAGTAGCTGTGTCCGTAGGGCATGAGGAGCCTGCTGGATCTGTTAAAGGGGCTAGAGAAGGCAGAGGAGTGCCTGTTTTTTTTGGCTCTTGGGTGGCACCTGAAGCCTTTTGGTTGAAGAGATGGTGTTGTTCTGCAGGCAGAAAGAAGTGGGGTCGCCACCAGCTGTGAGTGTGGATGAACTCATACTTCTGCCAGCAAAACTATAGTAGTGTAGATTGGGTCCATGATTGCCAAAGAAACTTATAGGTTCAAAGCTGCATAAGGAAGGTAACAACTTTCATTATAAACTTGGGATAGATTCTGACTGACACCTGGAAGAAAAGCTCCATAGTCCATCCTCTGAGCCAACCAGAGTCACTTTTTAGAAACACCGCAAAAGAACATCCTGCATTAATACGATGTGAGCTGGCTACAAAATCTGAGGTGAAATGCCTGAGCCTACTGAAGTTGATGGGAGTTTTGGCACTGACCCAACTGGGTCAGTTGAAGTCAGGGGAAAGTTAGGCATTTCAGTTTAAAAGCAGGTATTCCATCCCCTCCAATAGTATATTCTGCTTTATTTTCTTTGAACAACACTAAGCTAAACATTTTCAGCTTTCTACTGACGTTTGCTGCTTTGTAATACCTTGGTATAATCTTTATTTTTTGAGTGGCATTAACTGTATTACTGTAGTCCTCAGCTATCCTGATCATGGACCAGAATTGCACATTAATATTGTATACAGTATTGTATAAATAAACTAAAAAGATATGTTAGCCCCAAGAAGCTTCCAAATGGACAACTGAAAGTAGTACAGGGACACAGCAGGGAGCATGGGACAAAGCGGAAGTGGCGAATTCCAGTTGTCACTGCCATTGTAAACATGACCATGCAGATGCCAGCGGCAGTCACTTTTTTTTCACCTCCCCCTCCAAGTCAGTGTTGGGCAGTTGCCCATATAGTCCCCACTCCCCTCCTGCCCCTACCAGTTACACCTCTTCATAATGAATGAGAGTTTGTTGGTAAGATGAGGATGGACCATGAAGAACCTGTGAAGAACCAATGAAGATAGGCCAAGAACTTGACATAATCCAAGAAAAAATATTCTTTGCAGTAGGGTTCTGTATGGATATGAGCAGAGCAAGGCTGTCATAGAAAAAGATATTGCAGTAAGCAAAATGTGAGATAACAAAAAGTTTCGCTTGTTTGGATGGATGGGACAAGGCATATCTTAGGTATGTTATACAGAAAGAAACAGTAATATTTAGATATAACCAGGATGTGGCAACCTAGAAAGAGGTGAAGATGGCAACTAGGTTATGGGCTGAAGCGAAAGCCAGATGTGTGGGGCTGTTCCCAGTGACTAAGAAAAAAGATGAGAGTGATTAGGAGTGAAGGAACATTGAGAAATAAATTTTAGCCAAGTTGTGCTTGACCTGATGCCAAGATATTTATGAGATGTCAGCAAAGTAGGAGAAGATTTTAATCTGAAAAACAGGAGACAGGTGTGGAACAGTGGTAGATTTATGAATTATCAGCATAACCATGGTTGTTGAATTTGTAAGTATAGATGAGATGACCCAGGGATAAAGTTAAGTTCAGTGATAAGAGACTTAAACCAAACGTCTTTTAAATTCTTTCAACTCTGGGAAAGTTGGGACCTGAACTTAGGATCTGGGACTCTCTCTAAATTTAATATTGCTAAAATTACACATGTATGGCAGGTTTTTTTATGAAATATTCTTAAGTTTTTTCTTTGTAACACTATTTCTTGAACTTCAAAGAACCGTGTTAGTGCTCAGCAGAAGAGATCACTAGTATTCTTCCTCATGAAAGGTGTAAATATTTTTGGTAACAAGATCTGAGTCATTCCATACCAAATGATGTAGACATTTAGTTAACTAGACATGTCATATGCTACAAGAAGGGCCAGCAAGAAGAAAATATGCTATGTGAAAAAGAAAGCAGTGCAAGGAAATTTGTGTTACTATTGATTTCCACAACCAGTAGGGGTCACTCTAAGAGTGCTTAAAAATACAAAGCTCTGTAAGTGAAAAAAGAACCGAATGCTGAAGTTGTAGAAATATTAATAGTGTATTCAAATTATTTACATTTAATACAACATGCAACTCTTTTACCTTAAAAAGTCCCATATTAAAGGAAAATGTCAAGATGAACATTGTACTGAAACATTAAATTTGATGTATTTTGTTAAAACTGAAGAATCATTCCAGTTTCTGCTGCTGATTTAGGTTTTGCATTTCCTTCAGGTTAGATAGTGAAAGTAAGATGTCAGATTAACTTCTATTAATTCTATTCCTATTCTATTCTATTCTCATTCTATTCCTTATTTTCATTGTTTGCTTCTCGTGCATAACACAAAGATCATATGTTTGGGTTTAAAAGCACAACATTTAAATAGGAAAAAAAAGTTTGGTAAATCTTTTGTTTTTTCTTGAGAAACAAGAATAACAAAATAAGAGAAACAAACCTAGAAGTTGGGTTTTATCAACATGGGGCCAGGATCATGTTTTTGTTCTGTGTTTATAGAGCACCTCGCACAATGGAGTACTGGTGGGTACCTGGGCTTCACTGAAGTACAAATGCTTAATAATGAACTTAGTTGATAGTGTCTCCTTTAAAGAAACACTGAACATTGAAAGAAAACTAAACTGATATACAAACCTTGTAAAACTTTATTAATGAAGTTTTTCATCATATAGATGGCCGTGGTGTCTTCTGTTTTCACGTGGCTGTCAGTGAACCAACCATTCTCTGCAATCAAGATCCTAGGGTTGGTGTATTCCAGTTTAATCCACTTCAGAACTCCCCTTAAATTAAGTGACAAATTTTGTCCCATTTTAGCTAGCGTGGTTGGGGGTTTAAAATTGTTAGGACCAAAGGAAAATGCAAAGAAGTCAGCTGTTCCTTTTACATAGTTTTTTTCTGCCTCAGTAAAGCTGGGCAAAAATGAGTGCAGTTTATTTTTCATCTCTTCCGGGTAATCACCATCCCCATGTATTGGCTTTGCAAACCATCCAAGTACTCTCTCCATTGACTGCTGACAGTTATTAATGTCCAGAACATCTTGTGATCTGTTGGGTTCAATCCAGTGGGATCCTAAAACTATGGACACAACACCCTGCTGATATGACCGAAAGTGTCTGTTGTAGTTGTGCCAAACTTTTGCATGAGCCTAATGAGAAAAGAATAACATTAGACTTTGACTCTTTTAAAAAAGTCAGAGAGAATGTTATGGCAATATTAATAAACAGAAGCAGCACAGATGCATTTGTTGTACTGTAAGAATATAACCAGCAATATCTCAATGATTGCTGATAGATTGAAGTTTGCAAAATTATTGAGTTTTTTTTCCTTAGTAACTGCTAAACAATTTAACCATCTCATGTTAGTAGTGTGTGACAGGATTGCCTTGCTACCAACTGTGCCAGGCTACGCAGGTTTCTTGGATTCTCTGTGCTCAAAGTATTCTTGTTAACTTTTTCCTCTGTGGATACATTACAGTACATCTATTTAACGTAACTGGATGACTTTTAAGTGATCATCAGTGTGATTAAGTCTGCATGGTATCTAAACTTTAATAATTAGAGAAGAGCTTAAATAATTAGAGAATGTTTCAGAGTTTGGACCTAAATTCCAGCTTTCCCAGTTTGTGAGATTTTGATGTAGACATTTGGTTTGTCCCCATCTTTCTCTTAAAAGGTCTGTCTGACAATCTTTTTCTTAAAGTTGTCTTATGTTGCATGAGACAGAAAATAATGCAATTTAATAGTGGATTGACTGCTTATAGAGCTACACTTTGGGCTGGAGAAAATGACACTGTATACACACACACAGAAAATGCTGAGAAACACTGCAAAACATTTAGTTTAGAATTACCCTGGCAAAATTACCTAGCAAAAATCATAGTTTCCTATGTAAATCATTGTAACCAAACATTGTACTATTTGGTGTATATATCTTGAAATGTGCAACCTGATAAACTAAAAAAGAGAGGCATAGGAGAAATGAACAGAGGCTTAGTTAAAAGAGAGAATGGTAGAAAATTACAGTTTTGTGAAATCTTGCATTTCAGGTATTTATAGTTTCCAAAGTCATCATCTGTCATAACATTTGTACAAGGCCTATCTTTGGAAATACTGATAAAGTTAACATTAACCTTTGAGATACAGAGAACAGTTAGCAAAACTGCATTTATGAGGCAAATGTCAATGTTCAGTCTAATATGCTGGTAATGTGAGTGGTCTCAAGATTCCAATTAAAGACTGTATCCAAAACATATTATTCATTTACGTCACAAAAACTGCTATCACAATTGACATTGGTTGCTTAGAGATAAAAAAAAGCTAGTTTCTCTCAGCCCTTTTCTAGAAAGTCCGTCAACCTAGGGATGAGCAGTGTAAGAAAGCTTGCTGTAGCTGTGCAACAAGTATATATTGTCTTATAGTAGTTTGCAGTGTGCATTTTTTCGGACACCTTTTCCAAACACTGTCCTAGTTTATAATTATTTAATACAATAAAATAGATGAGTTTGCATGCACTTTTACAAGAACATGTCTGTTGAATTTGGTTGACTGCTTGCTGTGCCAGATAATGGTGCTATAACTGACATAAATCAGAGCAATTCAAACAAATTTCTAAGTGTAGAGGTGAAAAGGGAGGGAGCATTTAAAAAAAAAAAGATGTTAGATTGTACCAGCTTATGGTAAAAACAATCCTAGAAAACTCATACTTATGAGCCTTCAGAAGGCTGGCTAGAATCAAGTAAAAATGCTATTATTATTGAAAAGTTTTGTGGTATAACTTTATTGGTGCAAACACTTGGTATAACAGCCTGTGGTATATAACTTTATTGGTGCAAACATTTGGTAAAGATAGCAAAGTGTCAAAAACCCACATTTACACTGATGCCACTTGATTCTGATTGAAACTGGAGTAAACTCCATTGCAAAATTTGCAGTAGAGTCTGTATGTACTAGGGGTTTTTCCAGGTGCAGTAGAAACAATATTATCTGCCTGCTCACAAGTCTGTTCCAAGACGTTTAAGTAATGTTTTGTGAAGTTTAAAATCCTTCGATAGAAGCTGTTATTAAGAAACATAATAATTGTGGATGGAACCAGCTAATTGCTCTTTCAGAGATTAATTAATTATAAAATAAACATCTGTTTAAAAGTTATGTCATGTACTATATTGGCTATTCTAAGTAACTCTTGACTAATCTTTTTTCAGGTAGTTTAATACCTAATCCTTCATTTGCCTTGTTAGATCAAGGGCAAACATCAAGGCTAAGTACACACAGTGAAAGTAAGATCAATACCGTACATTTTATTCTAGGTACATATGACATATTAATTTCAGCACATTTTTTTTCTGATATGAATGTAGTAAACACACGACTGGAAGTCTAATATCATACTAAATTGAGTAATAAAAACAAAATAAATTTTATTAAACAGATGTAACAAACAAGTTACACTGGTCTGTTTAATAAAATGTTGCAAGCAATAGCATACGTGAGTTAATTTCACAAGCACTGAAAACATTTTGATGAATCGCCTTTTGTAAATCCTTCACCACCCTGCCAATGGTAATAAATGTGTTATGAGCTCATGTCAAAGTGCAGGTACCTTCTTGCAAGTAATTCATTTCAGGATCAGGGTCTTCTGTTCCCATGTAGTTTGTTATGGGATTTATTTTCTTTAATACTCTAGCAATCAGCTGAGAGAACAGTATCCAGAGTGACAATAATTTACCTTAGCGTGTAAATCCTTCACCCCCCTGCCAATGGTAATAAATGTGTTATGAGCTCATGTCAAAGTGCAGGTACCTTCTTGCAAGTAATTCATTTCAGGATCAGGGTCTTCTGTTCCCATGTAGTTTGTTATGGGATTTATTTTCTTTAATACTCTAGCAATCAGCTGAGAGAACAGTATCCAGAGTGACAATAATTTACCTTAGCATACTCTAGGGCATGACCAGTTGAGAACAAGAATTAGAATTAGAGATACAATAATTACTGTTTTATTAGCTGTTTAATATGATGATTCTGATTTTGTGGGGGGGGTTTGTGGTTTTTCTCCTTTTTTTTTTACTATGAAGAGGCAGAACATGAGGTCTTAATGATATATGTTTTATTTCTGATTATGATATTTGACATCTACTGCTTTTTTTGGAACAATGGTTCTCAACAGGGATGCTGTAGTGCTTTGGGGTGCTGCAGTGTGCTTCCACTCCTGGCAGCAGGAGCACCACAGTTAAGAACCCCTGAGGTAAGCTAAGGCAGCAGAACTGGTTCTCAACCAGGGTGCCACCAAAGTCTAAAATGTTGTGGAGGGATGCCTTGGGTCTAAAAAGGTTACAAACCAGTGCCTTAGAAGAAATATAGCACTCTATATTTGCATATTACAGTTCCCTGATGATTTCCAATAGACTTAAGAAAAATAACCTCTAAATAATCACTCACATGGAAATAGTTGAACTAAGTGGGGTTAAAGACTGATGAAATGTTGTTAACACCCACGGCTATTACTGTCTGAAAACTGACATTGTACAATATTGTATTTGAAGGCAGTGGGCTTAGGGGTTTAGCTTGAAGCATGAGGGCCAAGACTGTCTTTCTCAGTGAAGGAAGCAATGTGCATATTGGTCAGAATAACAGATCAGCACTTGCTCTGATCATTACCTATTCAGTTAACTTGAACAAAGCACTTATGATTATGCTTTCACTCCTCAGTTATAAAGTATGAATAATAATACTTAAATACAGGCAGTCCTTGGACTTACGACACAACTGGTTCCCGAAAACTGTCTTAAGTCGAAACGTTGTAACTCGGAACCAATTTTCTCATAAGAAACAATGTTATAAAAGGGGGATTGGTTCCTGAACCAAGGCCTGACACCTATTTTCACCAAAAATACCCCAGAATTTTGTATTCGATCAATTATAGATGAGTAATATAGCTACATTAACGTATTTATATTGTAAATAGCAATCATATTGATTTGGAAGGACTACTTTGCTGGACTTTTTGAAGGGTTCTTGGCTGGAGTCTTCTCAGGAGTCTTGGCTGCAGGTTTTTCTGGAGTCTTGTCTGCTTTCTTAAAGAAAGTGTCCAAGGAAATTTGGACAGATGTTCTCCGGGGAGATGAGCGATGCAACGAACTTGTTCGCTGGCGTGACGTCACATCGGCTCAAGCGTTGTAGAGTTGAAACTGATGTCATGAAGTTGAAACAGGGTGTCAATTTATAAATGTTGTAAGTGCGAAACATTGTAAATTGAGGATTGCCTGTATTACTATTTGTTAATAATACCACAGTGGACTTGATACCATGAACCCAGTGAAAAATGAACCTGTCCCAAAAAGATGTCAGCCTGGATAAATTGCAGGTGTGTTCTGAGGATGAATTCATTCCTGTTTGCATTATTTGATTTGTTAATCCTATAGTGACAGGTGCATTATAAAATACTGAAGTACAATTTCTGCAAAACACTAAGAAGTCCTCAGGTTCTATATAAGGCAAATTAGCATTATATCTGATGTCTTAGGTAAGGCGTTCTGCACTGAAGCACCTTTCCTCTACTGGACAAAAGAAACTAAATGGATCAAGTGACATTATGCTAATTCATTAGGTTCAAATCCTGCTCCTACTGAAATCAGTCTCAATGCTTCCTTTGACTTCAGTAAAAACAGATTTTGGCTCTAGCATTCTTTCCTCAGTAAGGACACAAGAAGGCATCTTTGTTCTTCTATTTATTTTCAGAATACTGACTTTAAAACAAAACAAAACAAAATATCTTTTTGAAAGAAAAGAAAATAAGAATGAATCAGAAAGTATGAAACAGAAATGCCTCAACTTTTTAAAATGGGCTTTCTTGGTTGACACATCATGCTTTCTCTTCTGTGACGTGTATTCTTAGATTTGTAATAATTTGTACTGACTAAATGTTACATAAATATTGCTGACCATTATAAGCAATGTTCCCTCTAAGGTGTAGTGATCCGTGAGCACCCTGCTTCAGTCCGTGAGTGCGCTGCTTCAGTCCGTTCCTGAATTGGTCCCGCTTCCCCCTTTAGTATTTAATATTAGACCGTGTACCAGATGCATTCTTTAATATTAGTCTCAGTCTATTTATTATCTTGTTAGATGTTTTTCTTTAAAGGCCCAATTCTGC